CCCACTCGCATTGGTTTTGTAATAAAGAGGAAAGGATAATTATCCTTGCCTCTTCATCACACCACCAATGAGAGAGGGTGTCGTCGATCTGAAGAAGTACCGAATATCCTACTGTTGAATATATAATGAAAAATAATTTTTTTTTAAATAAATATTCATTTATTTAAGAATATTCTTAAATAAATGAATCAAAATTAACTTCAACAAATTTCTCTGTCGAAGTTATAACTTCGTCAATATGAGACGACGAAGTTATAACTTCGTCGACCGGTGTAACTTCGATACGACATATATATATACATACATACATATGTACTTTAATCTATAAATAACGCATCTAATAGTGTTTAATAACTTTGTTTATTCATAAAATAATTTAAAAATTACGATTTTTTTGTCATGGCAAGATAACACTTTTTACTCTTAACGTTGCTGATTAAAAATACAGAGAGCAGAGTTGGAACTTTCTCAAAACCACGCAATTCTCTTGTGTTAATTGAATCGAACATATTTTTATCAGATCTTTCCCTGAAACAAGTAGATAGAATTCAACAGGAATTGTATAAAAATTATATCACATACAAGTGTCCATACATATATATGTTTTCCTCGATAGTTAGAAATGGAAGCGTAAATATCCCAAGATGAAAACCATTCAAGTTGAATCTTGTTCGATTCTATAAGATCCCATGAGATTATGTGGAATTTACACTTGAATATTGCATATTGTTTATCCTCTCCCACAATGCCTGCAACTCGTACGATTGCTTGAAAATATAGTTTACATATATTTTATTTGAACTTATTATTACACTCAATTGTTTAATAATAAATTTAAAGTAAAGGAAAAAAATGCATTGATGATATCTATTACCTTTTGATAGGTTTCATTCCATAATATAATCTGAAATAAACATGTTTAAAAATATAGTTTGCTTTTCAAAAATGATCGCGTAATACAGTCTAAAACAAAAATGAAAATAATAATTAGTCATAGCTTTTGCTTTATTTAATGCCGTAATTTTACCCGAACGTTAAACTAAAATAGAACATATAATTTAACACTTGTTCAACTTATACGAATTTGTCATCTAAATTAATAAAATTAAATTAAAAAAAGCCGTTCATTAAACTAATGTGAATTTCGAATCTAAAATAAAAGAAAAGAAAATGAATTATTTCTATTCAATTTTTATTGATGGCTTGTTCTGACGCAGTCTGAATAAAAAATCAAATAAAAAAATATTTTATATTCATTTAACTGATCTCGTAATTTAAACAAGACACGATTGAAAAAAAACATCTTTTCGCTTCATTCAATCGTATAGCTCTCTCTCGCCGTTCACAGTCGTTTAGGACCATCAATTGGCTACCTATATTACTGGAAAACAGCTTCACATCATCTTAAAAAGTATTTCAAATACATGTCGCACGCCTAGGAGTGGCACTTTATATTTATTTGTGCAAGTAGAGCCAATTAGCTAACTTTAATTTACCGGTAAAGCAGAGCAAAGTATATATACTGTTCTCAAAAAGTAAAGTAAAGTAAAGTGAAATGAATTACAATACTTATCATTAATTGCTAATTTTTTAGCACAATATCGTACGCTGACAATGATGCTACGCCATTATCAAAGTATGATGTTAGACTACAAAATCAATACTAAATTGTAAGTATTTAGATTCGCTTTACTTTACTTGTCGGATAAAGTATATATACTTTACTCTGACGGATAAAGTAAAGTTATGTACTTTACTTTACTTTTTCAAAGTAAAATAAAGATAAAGTGCCAGCCTTACACATGTCATCTAATAATCACAAAAGACAATATCGAATAGTTATATACAATTGGATTTCATCGCCTCTAACAAGACTCCATTGATAGATACCATCAGATCATGAGGAAGGAGTCTGCTGGTATCCAACACTGGGAAATTGCTGGCAAGCAAACAATATTAATAATATCCGAGAATCGAATCCTATTGCATGCCTACTGCGCAACATTCTTCGATACTTTTGGGATCTCATCAGATTCGATTCCGTGACTTCGGCCTGAAACAATTTAATTGTCCTTCTATGACATTTTCGGCACACCTTACACATATAGCCGAGAAAAAACTAGCAAAAAGTGGAAGTCTTCCCTTTGGCACGTTACAAATAAGTCTGCAGATGTTTTTGAAACCTAAATAAAATCTTATCTAGTCCTTTTTACACATGTTTTAGACATTCTGTTAATACTATTAAAATTTCAATGACTAGATACAGCTAGTCTTCTCATCAACGTTAGTTGATGTACGCAGCTGAGGTCTATCAAACGTTTATCATCTAAACAACAATGAAGTGCTCTACTAGACATTTCCGGAGTTCTTCATAGTTCATATAAGTGACCATTTATTCAAAGAATCTGAGTCAACAACAGGATCGTTTGTAGCATGTTAAAGTACTAACATCAAACACAAATATGATGTCTTCTTAACTCCGAACTGATAGCAAATACCATGCCTAGGTACCCTTAAAAAATTCCAAAGAGCATCCATTGGAGGCTCTTGAAAAGCTGCAGAGAGTATTTCGGAATAGTCCGTGAAAAGTAACCAAGAGTACCAGTGGCGTACGCAGAACTTTTCCAACGGAGACGTCGAAATTCTCAAGGAAGGAACCCGCAGTGGAGTTTTTCAAAAATTTGTACCGTAGTACTTTTTTTACCCGTACCCCCACGGGGAACTTGTCTTCAAAGGGGTACCCGAGCCCCCTTGGCCCCCTGCGTACGCCACTGAAGAGTACCCCATGGTAGCCCTTGCAAAGTTACAAAGCGTATCCCATCGTAGCCTTTGAAAAGTTACAAAGCGTATTCCATCCTAGCCCTTGAAAAGTTACAAAGAGTGCTCCCTGGTAGCCCTTGGAAAGTTACAAAGAGTATCTCCAGGTAGCCCTTGAAGAGTTATCAAGGGTATCCTAGGTAGCCCTTGCAGAATTATCAAGGGTACCCTAGGTAGACCTTGAAAAGTTATCAAGAGTATCTCTAGGTAGCCCTTGAAAAGTTATCAAGAGTATCTCTAGGCAGCCCTTGAAAAGTTATAAAGAGTACTGTCAGATAGTCCTTGAAAAGTTGCCAAGGGTACGCCCAGATAGCCCTTGAAAAGTTACAAAGAGTGCCCCCTGGTAGCCCTTAAAAGTTATGGTAGTATGCAAGGTAGCAGACTCGAATTGTTCTGCGTATATGCATTAGCATTAAAAATAATGCTAAATTAATGCTAACGCCTAAGCATTAATTAATGCTAATGTCATTAATGCTAAAGCATTAGCATTATTTTTAACTTAATGTTAATCCGACACCCCTAGATGAATGTAAAATATTTCTTGATCAAGTTCGTAGTGGTGAAGAACAAACTAAAGTATTAAAACATGCATATGAAATTAGTCGTCAAGTTCATACTGAAGTAACAAAATTAGATATAGCCTTTACTGGTCAACATAGTAAACATATACAATATTTAATTCGAGAATTTAAACGATTTGTTGGTAATTTACTTTATGCTGGATGTCTCTATTCACAATTACAATATGGTGTTCGAGAACCATTTAGTGAATATCTTGTGGGTATTGAAAATGATATAATTGATTCACGTTTACCAAGAAGTGAATCTGATTTACTCAATTTATTAGAAATATGTAAAATGCAATTAAAAAGTCATAGTGATGCACTTCTCTATCAAACATTACATATTGCATTTACGTTTAGTTCGAACTCATTTAGTCTATTTGATGAAATTAATCGATCTGTAAAAGAATTAATTCAACTTGTTTTACCATCTGTTCATTTAATTAGTCGTTCATGCTTAACAATTCATACATTAATTCAAAAAATATGTCAAAGTGTAACCGTTGAAGAAGGTGAAATATTAAAACAAATATGTGAAGATTTTTCAAAATTTACTGATGAAACATGCGAAATTAATAATCAAAGTAATTTTATTAATAAACAACTCGAATCCCATTTATTCAAAATAATATGGCAAAATATTGATCAACTTGTAAATATTCTTGTTAAAAATCGACCAGCAATGAAAACTTTTAATGAAAATCTTCTTAATCGATGGCATAGAACAATGAAAGAAATCTTTCGTGGATTTATTCAAGCACGTAAATTTAATATTCAACGTCAACTTGAATGGAATCAACGAAATGTTAAACAACTTAGTACATTATTAAATATTGAAGATGCAACAACAAATACGAAAACAAATTCTATATATCGATTAGCTGATATTGAACGAGAACTTCAACAAAAAACTCGTCTTCTTGCAAATGTCGATGCTGATCATCGATTGACGCGTTTAACACGATTACAACATCTTGAAATTGTCTATCAACTTACTATTGGCGGAATCGATAATTTAGAATCGATACTAATGAATGTGCCTATTCATCATATGGATTCATCATCCTTTTTTAAATTATTAAATTCAACACGTGAATTATACAACGGTAGTGAAATAAATCTTGTTGAGCAACCTCTGATTCATTTTATTAATGATGATTCAATGTTTAAAAATTCTTTTCAATTACTCGATGGAATTTATCGATTAGAACAAAGTGTATTTCAAGATCTTTATGAAGTTGCCAAAGTAGAAATGGAAAATCATTTCAATAAATTTCAAGATTCTATTAAGTTTGAATCAATTTTCGATATAGTTAAATCGAAAACCAATGAGTGGAATAAAGCTGGAGAGAATTTTATTTGTTTACGCAAAGAAAAACGAAAAAAAAAATCATATAAATATATAAAAACTTGTATTCAATCCGCTATGAATATAAAAAATATTTTTTCATACTTACCATTTGTTAATCTTTCCAGTTCTCAGATTGATATTGATGGATTGTTTCAGGTTCATGCTAGTGAAATATTATTGTATATAGCACATCATCAGAAAGGTAATGACCTTGCCTTTTCGTTGGCACCTCAAGAAGAAGTGAGGAATTTTATCAATCTTCATGGTCGTTATAAAAATTCGCTTAAACTAAGTCCAATAGATCAAATGTTTTCTCTAGTATCTGGAAATATTCCATGGCTTCTAATTAAATCTTCGAATACTTCTTTAATTGGAATCGATTTACAGCTGTTGGTTGAAGATGATCAACAACCTGAGGATAATATCCCCCATAATCAACCATTACCCGATACTTCCATCAATACTAATACTCCAATAATCATCGAAGTAAAACCAAAAACGGCTAAGTACAATATTATCTCTGAAATACCAGTTTCTCTAACATCCAACGAGACTACAGTTAAAATATTCATTTCGCTACCTAAAATTGATGCCATCAGTATTAAGATAGACAATAAACAAGTATTCCAGATGGAATGGCGGAAATTCACCGTACATCAATGCCAGCACAACATTAATCAACATTTGAAAATCCAGTATTTTCAAAGCTATAAGGAATTCTATGTAACTAAATTGACTTTAAATTCTCAGTCAATGACTGATGTTCCACTTGCAAATGAAATCAAAACAAATCTAACCGATTTAGAAGAACAAATTAGTAATCAATTGAACGAAATGAGTGATGATGAAGCATGGAAAAGATTAATTGCCAATAACACAATGCAAAAATTCAATAGTAACATGAATCAAATTGTACAATTGAGTCGATGTTTACGTTTAGCTTCGAATGATTTATCAAATTCAACAAATATTTATAATCTATTCAACAAATTGCCTAAACCAGAAATACAAAATAAATTGTTAGATCTGATACCATTCAAAGATTTTTCAGCGGTAGCACAAAATATGTATATTGTAGATGACGTCGAACCAGCTTTAGAGTACGAATTTAGTCGTGTATGGACTCGATCAATGGATCATTCATTTCAATCGATTATTAAATGTCGTGATCAAGTCTATTCAGACATATATTTGTACGTCGATCAATTACGTTTAAATAAATGCCAACTCTTTCGATTGTATACTTGTGCCAATACATTGTCAAATAATATGACTAGTAGTATTCAATCGGATTTCAATGCGATGTTAGTAGAATGTACTAAATTTTGTGAACTTAAATATTTGGATAGATCAGAATATATACAACATTTTGAAGAATGTCAACGTCTCATATATGAAGCACAACGAATTTATCGTACAATGAAACGTTCATCGAACAATTGGGCAGAAGTAAATGATCTTTTTGATTTATCATCATTTAAGATTGAAACAAATCTTAGTAATGCTTTTATTTATTCACAAATGAGTCGTGACACTCACATGTGGTTAGTTGAAAATATCGGAACGGATACAACACCAACAATAATGACATGTCATCCGAAGCCAGCTATACTTGATTTTGGTGTTGTACTTCCTGGTATTCATCAACGAATGATACAACGAATATATATTCATAATGAAGTTGATCGTGATTTAAAAGTAAAAATCGATCGAAGTACGAAACCAACGGATACACCATTTGATGTTACGACTGATAATCTACAATTAGCATCGGGTGATATTTGTGAATTAGAAGTTATCTTAAGACCACCGACAAATATTTGTAGTCTGAAAGAAAATTGGGATCTTATTGTTGATGATCAAACTGAACTTTCGAATACACTTCAAGCACAAGCAGAAATCGTTGAAATCGATCTTAAAATATCAGCAGAGACAATTGATTTTGGTTTAGTATCTTGTAATAGTCATCGAATAGTAGAAAATATTCAATTGGAAAATATTCTTCCATATCCAGTTCGTGTTAAAGCACAACTAAAACTACCAGAAACTAATCAATATAATTCAGTTCTAACAATAGTCAATAATGAACTCACTATACCAGCTAAATCTAAAATATCTTTTGGTATAGCATTGGAAGCATCGAAAAATATCGAAGAAGACATTGAAGCAGATATTTTTCTGGCAGTAGATTCACCTAAAAATATCAAAGCAATTAGAATTAATGCTAAAATTCGACAACTTTCACTAGAAATTCATTATCAAGGTCGAGCAATTAACAAATACCAATCTCAATATACTTTAACTATGAATAATTTCTATAAAGGCGAACGACGAACTTTACCTATTGAATTTTTTAATAATGGACCTATTGAATATACGCTTCGTCTAAGTTCTCAATCACTAAAATCATCCATAAATGAATTAAAATTGCCAGTCGATAAAAAGGAAAATGTCAATATAGAAATTTATATGCCTAACGACCATATTTCACAATCATTTATTCTTGAGATTGGACTTCTCAATAACAGACATCAGTATTATTTGATGTTACAAGGTGAAATAGTTGAGCCTAAAATGACACATACAACTTCTAATCCACAAAACAAGCATATAATACATATTAATCAAAAAGGTCAAATGGAACTCATTCAAGATAAAAATCTCGGTACTATACAACCGGTTAGTCGAGAAGTAAAATTCAAAAATACAAGTAAAGCAACAGCAACTTTTCACTTCTTACAAATTACCAATGCACAAGATTCATCATTGCCATTACCATCACGTTTCAAAATTGATCCCGACAATGTTATTATACAACCAAATGGAAATGTATCAGTACAATTTATTTATTATCCAATCGATTTACGACCATTCAATGCTAACGTTCAACTTCAATCAAATACTTCACCTCATCCTATCAATATGCCCTATAGTGTAGAATATCATACGCCTATTTTACGAACAACACCATACAGTGTTATCGATATTGGATTAATTAAGCCAGGTACTATTTCGAAAAAAGAATTCTTAAAAATTAATAATATCGGCAAAAAAGAACTGCGTTTTGAAATCTGTCGATTAAGTTGTCAAGAGAAATTCGTACAAACAATTGATATAAAAAAAACAGGATCGAAACCGAATTCACAAGATTCCAATCAAGCGATTAAAATCCCTCAAACTGGATCTACTTCACTCGATATCAATATTCAATGTGATCAAGTCGATTTACCATCTGAATATGATATGATTAGACTATTCGAATTTGAATTAGTAAGTCTATGCGATCCTGTTATTGATGTTGATAGTAAACTTGATAATCGCCGAGTGATAATTATCATTATTGGACATATGAAACCATTACCAGCATTTGTTCTAACTTCAGAAGAAAATCCTAAAGAATGGTCTTCACTTGAATTATTACCTTCACAATGGCTTCATTATTTTAGTCAACAATACAACATTTATCAACCATATACATCATTAATAATTCTTACTGCTATTGCTTATATATGTGGCTCACAAAAAACAAAAGATAATAATTTACCATTGACATTAGATGATTGGGCAAATTTTTGTTCGAATCTCAATTCAGATACTACAAAGACATCTCAAAAACAATTGAAATTAAATGAATTTGATGATAGGAACACAATTGATCTTGCTGTTGATAATATAATTAAATATCTTCGATTTTCATTGAATAATTATATTTCATTTTTTCAAAATTCCATTTTATATCATGATTCATTTGCAAATAATGATGTCGTACGACTTCAAATTTTTAGTGTTATTAATTCCGCAGCTAATGTTGATGAAGCTTATACAATGCAACTTTATGCAACAAAATTTTGCGATATCTATCAAAATTCTTCACCTGAAAATGCATCACAACAAGCTATTAAATTTATCTATCAATGTATTGCTAATGATAGTGCAATGTCAGAAGAAGTACGTATCTTTAGTAAATTTATTCGTGATGCAGCTCGTCCTTCGACAACATTCAATGTACAGGAAGAATTAAAAAAACATATTTCATCCACGAATACATTTGGTGAATTATTAACTATGATGAATAATTCATTTAATCTTAAATGGAGTATACTCTTTGGATTATTTTCTGATAGAGTAAAAACTATTTTAGTTAAATTAATTAATGCTGATTATCGAGCACTATTAGAAATACATTTAAAATTAGAAAGTGAAAAAGAAAACAATACTTTACAAGGATCATTGTTGAATTTAATGAACAAAGCACATAATCTATGGAGTTCATTAACTGAAACTGATAAATTCGAGTATTTTGTATTGATTTTTGGCGAACATAAAACGTTATATGGAATAATAGCATGTATTTCCGTGAGAAATCAAGCACATCTAAGCGATATAATTAGTTGAAATTACGAAAGTCATTTTTCAAAAACTTATTCCAACACTCGATTTTTCACCGATATGGGATGTCTTTCTGAAAGAGTATGTGCATGAAATTCAACAAGCACTTGGAAAAATCTCACATATTTCACCTTATGATTACCATAATTTCGTACAACACAGGCGTAATTTTCGACAATCTTTACAAAAATATACATCGGATGGCTTAATGCTTTCTAATGGTAATGTTGAAAATTATTGTAATATTTTAAATTATCTTGTGCCACTTACTCACAATCAAAAAATATTCATTAATGAAACTATTAAAATTATTTGGAATATATTATGTGAAGCAAGTAAATCGCAAACGACTATTGGCAGTATTGTTATTCAAATTCTTCATCTTCTTCATGTTCTTGATGAAGAAAAGAATTGGTCATCTATAAAAGACTCGTATTATCAACATTATATGAAACCAAATTGGAAAACTATGCTTAAATTTATTTTAACGATTGGTTATGATAATGAAATTATTTCATATATTAAGAAATTAACAAGTGCTCATACAGAAGAAACTATGACTAATTTAATTTCAGAAATCGGTTGTTTAATATCGACAAATGATGAGTTAATTTCATTTAATAAATATCAATCTTCAATTAAATCTCTAAAATTGAATATGGCATCAACTGTTGAATTATTAGAAAAGCTTCGAAATATTGTTCCACAAGAACTTGAAGAACAAATTGAAGCATATTTAACTATTATACGTCTACCAAATATAAGTACAATTAACGAGGAAGATCAATATCAAATACTTGATAATATTATTAATTCATGGAGAAGATTATTGAATATTAAAGAAGCCGATTTACGACGATTATTCGAAACGATTTCATCCATTCTTACATCATTTCATGGTCTTATTGTTTATCGTCATAGTTCATTAAATAAAGCACTCTATACAACAAGTTTAACATCAGCACTTTGTACTTTGTCTAATTATCGCCAAAGAACACGTGAAAAATTGGGCATCGACTTATCTACTATTCAATCAAACAAAATTTCATCGATTCTTACAGCTATTCAACAAACTCTTCTGAAAATTCAACTGAATCAATCAATTTCTTCAGCTGAAAGAAGCCAAGATATCTCATCTCTTTCTCCTTCATTATCTAATTCAAGATCAGCATCAACAAATGAAATAACATCTAAAACAACATCTACAAATGAAACAATAACATCAACAGAATCCATTCAAACTTTTTTGTATTCGACGGATACATTAAAAAAAATGCAAGATTCCGTAACAAAATATGTTCAATCACCATTGTGTTCATCGTTTTGTTTTAGTGAATCAGATAAAATTCATGCTATTGTTATTAAAGCACATGATTATTGTTCACAAGTAACACAATGGTACGGTATTTTTACAACGTTTAATGTTCTCGTTCATAATCAATCGAACATGAATAATTTAAATCAAAATGAAACTGCTCATAATATTGTTCTACATGGTCTACAATTATTACGTGATCTTGTTATAATTAAAAAAATTCTTGAACCTGTCTTTTCAGTAACTGGTATTCGATTTTTAAATAAAGATCTTAGTCGATTAGAAAAATGTTTTCTTTCATTATCACTTGAAAATTATTTTCAATTACGAGAAACTTTACGACAATTAAATATTGATGTTAGCAGTGTTATTAATGATTTTCCACCACCATCAAAAACTCGTCCACGAAAAGGTGAATTAAATAAACGAAAAATATTCGATATGTTAGAACCAAATGTTTCAAAATCACCAACAACATCAGAAAATCAAACACAAACTACGAAAAATGATGATACACCATTGACTTTAGAAGATTGGCGAGCAACAACACGAAATGAAAATTCTGAACAAGCTAAAGATATGCTAGAATTATCGAAATCAAAATCAAAATCAAAATCTAATACACGTAAAACTGGTGGCGGATCGAAAAAAACCTTTCTATCAAAAATAGAAAATTTGGCTAAAGAAATATCGTCTCAAAGTCTAACTAAAGTCAATGTATCAACAACAAGTCATACAAATGATGGAAAACAAAGTACATGGAATGATATTGATGGATCAGTCGATTTTAATATTGATTTACAAATGAAAGCCATGCAAGAACAATTAAAAAAACAACCAAATCTACTTGAATTATATGAATCAATTAAAACAAAAGGAAAACGAACTCCACCCGATGGTAAACTTGATAATCGTGCTGCACTTGCTTCAATAAATCAACGCGATCGATGGACATATCAATTACTTGTTGAAACACCACCTATTGCTCGAATGATAAATTTAATTATAAAAGAATTTCGTTCAAAATGGGAAACATTAATTAATAATATTAATACAAATGAACAACATGAACTTCATTGGTGTATTATGATTGATAATTCAGGTTCAATGAGTATTTATCGAAATTCAATTTATGAAATTCTTGTTATACTTATGGAATTACATCGTAAACTTGAGAGTAAATTTGCTGTAGCACGTTTTGGTGGACGAAATAATCAGAAAATGTTAAAAAATGTGGCTGATCGTTTTACTATACAAGATGGACAATTTGTACTCGAAGCATTAACATTTGATGAAGGTACATATCCCGCTACAGGTCTTGATAATATTTCAAATCGTGTATTTGGTGTAGCAGATGAAAATAAACCATCAAATCCTCTTTTTCATCGTCTTGTTTTAATGATTACTGATGGTTTAACACATGATAATGACGATAAGACATATACAGAAACAATTAAAAAATATGATATTAATTTAGGTGTTCTATTTATTGAAACGGCTGGACAAAGTACAAGTCAAGTATTATTACGTGGTCTAAAACAAGCTCAACATCGTATTGTTCATGCAAATAATATTAGCGAATCACCGAAAATATTAACACAATTAATGCATGACATGGTGAAAGCTTCAATTAAAACTGATAATCACACGACAACAAGAAATTCATTTTCAACAATCAATATTAAAATACCTAGTATACCTGAAACACCGTCTTTATGCGATACAATTATTCAAAATTTAACATACGATTCGGCCAATCCAACATCATATATGATTAGTAGTTCAACAGCAATAATTCCTCGTTTAAATCAAGTATGATGAAATATTCATATTAAATATGAAGGCTAGTTATTAATATTATTCTATACATTTATTATTTCTATTTAGAGTCAATCACAATTAACAAGTTATTTATCATCAACAACTGAATACACTGATTATTCATCGAAAGCATTAAATAAACTTCGTGAATATTATCATACATTAAAAGTATCAGCAATGATGCAAGATATAGAAAAAAATTGGATATCAGCAGAATATCGTCTTTCTGGTGCTGTCGAAGATGTATCGACTGTACTCGGTGATCTTGTATTACCATTTAATAAATTTACACGTCGTCGAGCAGCCCTACGTGGTTCATCACTTTATTTACCTGGTCTAATAAAGGCCATGACTAGTGAATGGACATATAAGAAAATATTTAGTTCAAAATTGGCCGGTGGTAAACGTGATCATGCTGTATGTCTTGTTCTTGATGTATCAACATCAATGTTAGGTACACTTAGTACTGGTCTTAAAGAAGCAGTTATAGTTCTTACAGCTGCTCTACGTAAACTTGATTTAACTCAATTCGGTATTATTATATTCGGTCGTGAAGTACGTTTGATTAAATCGAATGAACAACCTTGGGATGCAGCAACTATTTATACACTTGTAAATGAACTTCGGTTCGATCAAGATGAAGATACAAAAGATGCAGATGCTATTGNTAAATTTCAAGATTCTATTAAGTTTGAATCAATTTTCGATATAGTTAAATCGAAAACCAATGAGTGGAATAAAGCTGGCGAGAACTTTATTCGTTTACGTAAAGAAAAACGAACACAAATACCATTTAAAGATATAAAAACTCGAATTCAATCCAATAAGACTCTACAAACATTTTTTTCACATTTATCATTTGGTTCTACTTCTACTTCTCAGATTGATATCAATACATTATTTCGGATCTATGCAAATGAAATATTACTATATATGGCATACCATCAGATGGGTAGCGAATATGCCTTCTCTTTGGCACCTCAAAAAGAGGTGAACAATTTCATTCAAATGCATCATCGTTATAAAGATTCGTTTAATCTAAGTCCATTGGATGACAGTTTTTATTCATTATCTAAAAATATTTCCTTTCTATTAATTAAATGTTCGAAAGATTGTAATTTATCTAGAATCGATTTACAATTGTTGGTTGCATGCAATGAACAACCTGAAGATTATGTCTACCCTGACCTATCAGCAAACGAGACTTCTCTCAAAACAAATATTCAAAAACCTATTGAAGTAAAACAAAAAACGATTCAGTACAATATTGTCGCTGAAATACCAATTTTTCTAACTGGAAAAGAGACTCAAGTTAAAATACTGATTTTAGTACCGATAACTGATGTTCGTATTAACATCAATAATGAACAAGTATTCAAAATGGAATGGCGAGAGTTTGCCGTCCATCAACGTGATCACAACATCAATGACTATTTGAATGTGAAATATTTTCAAGTTCAAAAAGATTTCTATGTAGCTAAATTAACTTTGGATACTAAATCGACGAATGATATGCTATCGTCAAGTGAAATCGATCGAAATTTAAAGAATTTGGAAGAACAATTTATTAATCAATTGAATGAAAAAAGTGATGATGAAGCATGGAAAAGATTAATTGCCAATAACACAATGCAAAAATTCAATAGTAACATGAATCAAATTGTACAATTGAGTCGATGTTTACGTTTAACTTCGAATGATTTATCAAATTCAACAAATATTTATAATCTATTCAACAAATTGCCTAAACCAGAAATA